ACCGTTTGGAATTTTTAGAAAGAATTTTGTAGGTATTTTTGTGCTATAATTAGACCTGGAATAAATTGGAGAAATATTATTGAAAATATCAAAAATTTTGGAATAGATCCACAATTTAATTTACTAAAAAAACTAACTGTGTAGAACATTAGCAGGATGGACAGATTGATTCATTTTTGTATGTCATTGATGCGTTAATATCTCTTGTCTATTTTTTCTCACATAAATCTTATAAATTAATGTCTTTAAACCGACTAAAAAAATTTATACCATTAAATAAAATATTAAGAGGGGATAGTAATGAGGTGCACACAACAAAAAAAAACGAAAAAATCTCATTGATGAAAGAATAATCCGCTTTGAATAAAGATCAGACAACGATCCACAAAAATTCAAAATGCAAAATCCACAGAAATCCAAAAAGAGTTCTATCCACCCAATGAAATCCATATAGCCGAATAATATATATATAATTTTTTGCACTTTTTCCGAGATTGAGGTAGGTTTGCTTCGCGAAATTCAGTTTCACTTTAAGGTCTGCCCGTATTTACCTGTTTGGTTCCGCGTGGAAATATTAACTGAGCGACAAAGTGCAGCACTCCTCGTATTATACGAAAAACACTTGAACGACGAACGACAAAACGGTAAACGTGATTGATTAAATTTTATAATTTTAGCGATTACGATTGGCCAGAAACGCAATCAGATACGAAAACAACTGAAGCGACCTTTGGGAATACGTTGAAATATATGTATACATATATGTATATGTACATTGAGGAATACGATAGTACGCTATCAGCCAGGCGCAGAGATTATACAAGCTTCTATAAAAATTCATTGATAAATTACTACGAAGCACAGAACTAACAAACACACACACACACACACACACACCCGCACACACCCGCACACACATCCAAGAAGCCACCCGCCCACAGAGATAGCACTCTCACAGATACTCACAGGCACAAACGTAAGCACCGAGGACGGGGGCTTATCAACAGAACCGACCGTTTGCAAAGTTGAAACGAAACAAAATTCTTAGAACAATCAAAAGCATTTCGTTCGCTTTTCCCAGGAAAAGCAAATTTGTACGAGTACGGGAACCGGAGAGTCGGCGACCAGAGAATGCGAGAGTCAGGGACGGGGACGGGGACGGAGGAATGGGTGACATGCGGCTCAGATAAGTGGAAGCGAGCTTGGGGTAAGGTCAAGAGATATAGTCCAATCGCATGTTGATTATTGCTCATAGTTCCCCGGAGCTTTGTCGTGGAAACCCATTCAAATAAACACACATAGACACATACACATACATACACATAACCATTGATAACGAAACTTGGACACAAATAGAAAAATTTACATACATAAAACAAAGTTGAACTGGTTTTTGTTTTTTTTTTTTGGTCTTTCGGTGCTTTTGTCACAACAGTTTTCGGATTCACCTTTATGTGGAGTGCTCTTAAATGGCTTTGCTATGGAAATACTCATACAAAAAGGTCAGTGCAGCAGCAGGAGAATTGAGATTTAATTTAGGAGTATTCGAATTGTAGGTGCTCTTAAAAATATATATTCAAGGTAGGGAAATTCCGAAGAGATGTTCATGCCATCCAAAAATGTAGTTAATCAGTCTAACAAATTTGAATAAAGCTAAATGCTACCCAAATTAGCTTATGAAACGAAAGTGACCTATGATCCTCTGGTATCAGACTGGATATGATAAGATGTGCTATGTTCCTTAAGATAAATGTACAGAAATTCTAAAAATATAACAAAGAATAAAGAGATCAAGAAGCTGTTTTTCTATGGATAAGATATGCACCGGAAAGTGACAGATTTTGATGGGAATGGAATCTCTGCTGCATTTCTCTATAATTCCTTATGGATTTAATCCCCTAACATCTCAATCAGCAGAAAAAATATGAAATGATTCCATTCTTTTGGCTTTACAATGCTCATATAGATATCATATTTCCCTATAACTACCATTCTGTACCAATTGTAGCTCCAGGCCTCCCTACCCTCACACAGCATGAGTACTTATCCCATCCCCTCCGCACTTTGTAACGACCCACTCGAGAGCCACATGAACACACACACTACTACTATAACCAAACAGAATTGAGTATTTTGCCCACATTTCACTTTTTGGCATTGCGTTTCAATTGAACAAATTCACGCGAACAATTAACAATAAAAACGAGAAACGAACAAAATCAAATTTCCAGCGAAATCTCATCGAAAATGCCAAAGAGCAGAAAGGAAAAACAAATAACAATAGGATAAAAGAAAGGTATGTGAGTGAGTGAAGAGGAAGGGCAAATAGCCAAAATCCAATGGAGTACCTATGCCTATGATTGTATGCATTTGTAGTTTGTGTGTGTGTGTGTGTGTGTGAGTGGCAGCAGCTGAGCAGATCGCTCAGTCCGTTGCTAAGCAGACAATTTGGCATTTTGCAAGATCGTTCACGTTCGTTTACGTTCGCTTTGGCTCTTCCATCTCTTTGCCACTCGCAAAGCGCCAATTAAGCAGCGTCCCCTCTGTCTCTCTCTCTCTCTTTCTTTGACTCGGTCTCTGCTGCTGCCCCTCCTCACATTGCACTTATCCTGTTCGAAACAATTTCACATGAAAAGCTATTAAAAAAGCAAGAAAGAAAGGCCAGCTTTATAGACCGAAGCTTTAGGTACTCTTGCTGGGACATCTTTTCCATGGGAGCTCATCGGAGATTATTAATCTGAAGAGCTTAACCGAGAAAGATAATATTATGATATATTGACTTGATCAAGAAAAAAGCAGAATCTATCCAAAGTTTAATCGATAAAGCTTTTCATCTGAGGGTTTAGTTCAAAGATACTCAAACTGCATTTCCAACCAAAAAGATACTTTAGTATCTATGGCATGTGGAGTAAGGGTAGCATTGGCAGACATCTGCTCGCAATCGTGAGACCCTTCTTAAAGAGTACACAAAAAATTGAAAACGCTCTCAAGTTTAATACCAAATTTCAAGGAAATGAGCGGAAGAAGATGGTAAAAGCGGGTTTCTTTACCAAGAATCATCAAAAAAAAAAAAAGTGCAGACACACAGACACACACCCAAAGAGAGGCAGCACAGACGGCAGCAACACACTCTTTGACGCATTACAAACAAAGTTAATAACACCTTTTCTTATGAAGGGTACAACAACGCCGCCGAACGTTCCGTTCCGTTCCCTGAAGAGATGGAAGGAGAAGAGGGAGTCTTCAGATGTTGCTGTCGTTGCTGTTGTTGTTGTTGTACGGCTTCAGCCGAATTGAGCGGCTTGGCGGATAGGCTACACCTTTAGCAAGAAGCCGAAGCAGAAAGGCCGAAAGAGCCCAGAGACCAATAACCAGCCCAGTCAGCCATCTATCCAGTCAGCCAGAAGAGTGTGTATGTGTGTGTGTGTGTGTTCACATCGTTATGGTATGGGTGAGAGCATTGCACAGATACAGTGTGCACTCAACGATGAGGACAGGGGGAAATGCCCGGGCAGCCTGTTTGGCAAGTCTCCTTATGGGATGGATGGCATAGAATGTACAAAGCTTTGAATTCATTGATTGGGAGCAAACTCTCTTTACGAAGAACTACAGTGAAGCTGCCATGACGGAAGTTTATGGACCATAAACGGTTGTACCTATTAGATACAACTCAAAGAAAACTATGACCTTTTATTATACTTTTTGCAGTCGGATATAAACTTTTAAAACCATCAGAACATCAAGGAATATTTAAGGCTATGCGAGGGAAAATTTGGTATGACATTCAAAGGAAATTCAGGCTAAATGCTCGCATTGTAAATTCAATTATATAGATTGGCAATACGTCTGCATATTTTTAATAAATTCGAACTGATTTCAGAGTATATAATGTATTGTTAAAAATCATTAAAAACACTCGTAAATTAATATATCATTTCTTGTATGGTTATATGGCTTTATTTATATCTTTGAGTTAAGGAACCGTGAAGTTCAAAATTCCACTTCAATGTCACTCGGCTGTCAATCTTATTTTCATTTCAGAGAATTTCCTTGAACAAAAAACTTGAACTTTAGTTCCCCTTTCTGCGAGCTTCCACTGTATCCGCATATTGTATCTGTGTGAGGGCCAGCTTCAGCCTGGTTTGCGGTGTTAAATGTTTGCAGCAATAGCAGCAAGCGAGGCAGCAGCAGCAGCAGCAGGGGCAGGGGGTAGTATCAGCAGCAGCATTTCATTCAATAGCGCGAACGACAACGACAACAGCAACAGCAGCAACAACAACTACAACGAAAGCAGCTGCCAACATCATCGCTGCAGAGAGCACAAACACACACAGATACTACCACCCGCCGCCACCTCTACGTCTCTGTCCATGTTGGGCATGCTCTTTGCATCGGTGTGTGTGAGGCATGGGCACGAGTGTATCTGTGTCTGAGGCCCAGAGCACGAGTATTTGTATCTGTGTGTGTGAGGCCACAGCACAAGAGTGTATGTGTGTAGTGGTATTGTTGAGCTGCTGCTGCTTGTGCTTGCCCGCTTGGTCTGTCTGTCACTTCTCAGAAATCGGTCTAAATTAGAAAATGCGTTTCTGGGAATTTCATATCTATCTCTCTCTTTTGGGCACACACTCTCACACTTACAGCGAAAGATCGGGGCGACCAATGCGACAACCCATATATGTATATATACTGTAAATATATATACATATATTATTAAATATTCCTACCATTTCCCATTTCCGAGAATATGCCATTTCTCTTTAACAACTGCGGAATTTCATCAAATATTGCTACTGAAGGCTAATGAAACCACTTATGTACATACATACATATGTATATGTATGTACGAGTATTTCCCTTTAATTGGAATTTTCTACAGTTTCCAGAAGTGCAATGGACCAGAAAGCTATCCAACTATTTGGAGGGGAGCATCTGCTCTATGGGGCAGAGTGGCACCTCCCATAAAGTACCAGATTTAATTATTTTGGTGACATCTATTTTACCTTTTGATTTGCTGCTGTTTGCTATTTGCTGGTGATCCGACACTTTCAGCTAGTTGGCAATTTGTATAAATTGTATTTTAAGCATTATTTTTTTTAGCTTTCACAGTATTTCACGAGACGACACACACGCACACAATTTTTTGTGCAATTTGCACTAACGAAATATATTTTTATTTGCACCAGACAGACGGTTCGCCTGACCGTGTCTACACTGTACACTGGGCTGGATTGTATTTGATTTAATCAATTTGTGCAATTTCACGCGGCGTGACCACGTACAATAACCGAAATGTATCTTTTAAGTTGTATCTTATTATTAAACTATCTTCTAGAGGTGTCAAACCATCGAGGGCACTATCGATAGTATCGATATTTTACTGATGGCCTCTACTATCGATAGTTTTGAGACTATCATGATAGTATCGAGCTAAAGTCGTTGCGCTTTTAATATGTTTGGATTGGCTGCTATAAAAAACGAAGACAAATATGAAAAAAAAATCGACAGGTGGCATCTAATTTTTACAATGGACAAGTTCCTAAAAGGTTTCAAAGGTCTTATAATAAATTTTTCAGCACGATACTATCACGATAGTATCGACTGTTTTTTCAAAACATTCGACGTTGATATTTCTCGATATTGATATTCCGTTTAATATTACCAGCTAGCTGGGACTCTCAGCCCTAAACAAATAATTTTGTCCGATAGATACATAAATTTTTTAACAGATTGGTATGTTTTCAGAAGTCCTTTTTATTGGATTATTCACATATTAAGGTTCAAACAAAAACAGCATAAAACGAATTTGTCGTCGTTTTGTGGCGTTGCCAGACTCGTGCAATTCGTAGTTGTTGCGGGCTGCCATACCGTGATATTTTTTGATATGAAATTCGTCAATTTTGATATTCAGTTTAATATTACTAGATAGTTTACCCACATAGCCCTAAAAAAATAATTTAATCAAATTCATCAAAAAATTGTGTACAAGATTGGTTAGTTTTTAGAACTCTTTTTCATTGGATTGTTTACATATTAAGGTTCAAACAAAAACGGCCAAAGCATAAAACGTAAATGTTGACTAAATGTGACGTCACATGTTGCTGGTCAACCAAGTTTCTTCTATGCGTATGGGCTTTGGTATACCTTATTTCCTTTAATTGATGTTAAATTTGTTGTTTCAGGCTGCTTGGAAACATTAATATTGCATTTTCGTAAGATTGAGCTATTTTTTACCTATCTATGCATATGTTTTGTGTTTTATATATACATTTATCCCGGTTCTGATACCTATTATTGGTACCCATGAGCTACAAAATTTCGTTGATGTCTTTTAATAAGAGACTGAGTAGTTTCTGCATTAATTGGAGCCTGAAATTACAAACAATACCTCAAGTCCATAATATCAATTTTCCCAAGGTATGCAGATTGTTGCTCATTCCGTGCTAAAGTTGCACAGCATTGCTGCTACTCCATTTCCCCATGCTGCTGAAATTTTTCCCATACAAATCAAATGTATCATACGGGAACGCGTATGGAATGACGCAACAATGAATCTTTATTCCATACGCGTTCCCGTAAGATACATTTGATTTTGTATGGGAAAAATTTCAGCAACATGCTGCCACACCACGAAAATGAGGGGAAAGTCTCCACAAAAACACTCTATTCTCCACGAATTGAGAGTGAATTGTGCAAACTCTCCACGAATTGAGAGCAAATTTTGAAAACTCTCCACGAATTGAGAGTGAATAATATCGATATTTTTATGCGATAAGTGGAGTCTGGCGGTCATTTTGAAGCGTATCTTAATATATAAACAAATAAATTGGAACTTGATTAAATAATATACCGTAAGTATTCTGAAGGACACGAAAAGATGCGTTGATATTCCTAATATTCAGTTTACTATTACTAGATAGTTGGCCCTCTCAGCCGTAAACAAATAATTTTATCCGATAGATACATACATAAATTTTGTTCAGGATTGGTTACTCCTTTTCATTGGATTGTTTACATAATAAGGTTCAAACAAAAGCGGCCAAAGTATAAAGCGTAAATTTTGACTAAATGTGACGTCAGTGTTGCTGGTCAACCAAGTTTCTTCTATGCGTATGTACTTTTGTATACCTTATTTCTTTTAATTGATGTTAAATGCTTTGTTCCAAGCTCCATTGAAACATTATTTATGATTTTATCCTAGATTGACATGTTTTTTACATATTAATGCTCATGTTTGTGTGTTATAAATACATTTATCCCGGTTCTGATACCTATTATTGGTAGTCGTGAGCTGCAAAATTTTATCCAATTGATGAATCATTTTCTTTTAGATTGATTAAATTTAAAGACTTATTTTTATGGGATTGTTTATAAAATAAGCTTTGAACAAAGAAGGCCAATAAAAATTTGTTTTCTTACATTGTAACTACATATTTGCTACATGACAAAAACATATCTATTGAGTATGGATGTTTCTATACCCTATTTTCTCTAGTGTATTAATTTAAAACACTATTAAGTGATTCATATATGATTTTTTCTTGGAATAAATGAATCGCATGTAAAAAATTTCGTTGTGTTAGCTTTAAAACTTAAAGAGACTCATATATGCATAATGGAGAGACTTTTGTGAGTTACAAACGCCTCAGAGAACTTATAATATCTTCTTTCCAGGGTAGCAAATGTTTCCCAATTCGGATGCTCGGAACCAAATTGGGCGTAATTGAACCATCTCAAATGAACCAAAACTGATTCAAATGACTATCGGAAACACCGATAGTTCGTATATTGGGCGCAAAAATTAAAAATGCTAGTCCGTTCCGTACCTGCATGTGAAAACCATTTAAATACATTTAATTAATTAGTTTATTTGAAATCATATAATTTCCAGGGCTTAGAAGTCGATAAGCTTACGGAAATCGATTGTAAGCCCGCTTGAATTTAAATTTTAAATGCATATCAACAAATTCAATAGACGTAATCAAGACGTAATGGACGTATCCGGCTCAAAAAAAGGACAATATTTGATCATTCAGAAAATAAATACACAGATAGGAAAAACTGAATTATACAATAAATAATGGGGCCAAATTTAGACGAACTAATCTCAGCGGGCGCCTTGCGGATGAATCGCGAGCAAACACGCTGTCGGGAGCTTGAGAGCCACACTGGAGATAATAAATAAATTAAAGTGCATATCTTAGACAAGCTGATAGTAGCGTTTACCCCACACACAAGCCATTTAGCCGGGGGTCGGTCCGATCGTGGAGATGCGACTGAGACGACGACCGACCAGTGCCCCAGTCAGTGTCAAGCGGTCAGCCAAGCCACAGGCAAACCACAAATAATACTCCAGAAGCGGCAGCAGCAATAAGCTGAGCTCTCCTCCAACTACTGCGTCGATTGCAGCCTAATTCAATTAAAATTAAAACGCAAATCTACGGCACACAGTGAAATTGCCCCAAATTTCCGACAATTATATGAGAGGGAAGTAGTCAGTTGTGTGGGCAGCGATATCGCCGACCATGAGCTCTCCCGTCGAAAGTCTCCCAATGCATCGCTCCACATCGATGCCCGTGAAGCCCAAGCCCCTGGAGACGAAGCCACTGGCCCGTTCCAGCGAGAAGGAAGTGGTCAATGAGGCGGATTACTATCCAGAGAGTCCGGGATTTTGTGAGGCGCCGCAAATCCCGATCGCCAGCCGATCACTTCGAGACGCGCAGTGAGCAAAAGTAAGTGCAAAAAAAAAAGTTCCACATTTTCATTTCATGCTCCCAATATATTTGCCTGCAGTTTTCCCTTTACACACGACTGGGCGGGCAGCACCATTGAACTGACACCGGAAACTGGCTACGGGGATGGTGGCCACAGGCGCAGCCTCCATCGTGTGATGGATAAGAATGGCAACGAGAATGTGGTCTTTCGTCGCATACCGGAGAAGTCGTGGCGCTATATGCGCGATGTCATCACTACGCTGGTAAGATCCTGGTTTGGCCACAAGACCAATGACACCAGCAAAGCATCAACACCAACACCAACACCACCACCACCACCACCACCACCACACCCACCGATCATCCAAGAGTCATCGCGATTGGATGTGTACAGCATAACGCCCAGCATACAGCGCAAGTTGGATGAGCTGGCCAACGAGCCGCCGGCCAAGCTGCATCTGAATGCGACTCATCTGAAGACTAATCCCGAACAAACCGAACGCGTAACGTTTAGCATTTAATTAATCAATCGAAATCAAATCGAATCATCCCAAGCAACAGCCATGACTAATAAACAATATTTGTAACACACAAAACTGCAAACAGCAAACTGCAAACTGCATCCATGTTCATTCCTAATCGTGGGGAACACCTTTCCGCTCATTGACAGATGGACCTGGAATGGAAGTACATGCTGACCCTCTTCGTGGGCAGCTACTTTCTCAGCTGGCTGCTCTTTGCCGTACTCTGCTATGTGGTGGCCTACTCCCATGGCGATTTCCTCTTCGATCAGATCAGTGGCGTGCGTTTGGGCGAGGGCGACAAGCCCTGCATCTATGGCGTCACCTCATGGATGACCATGATCATCTATTCGGTGGAGACGCAGAGCACGCTGGGATTTGGCGAGAAGTACGCCAGCGAGGAGTGCCCGGAGACCGTGTTCCTGTTCATAATGCAAATGGTCTGCGCTGCCCTCATCGAGGGTAGCATGGTGAGCCTTATCTACGCGAAGACCGCACGCCCCGCCAGGCAGTTGACAAAGCTCAAGTTCAGCGATAAGGCGGTGGTGAGTGCAGATGCCCAGGGGCCAGAGCAACGTACTCCCCATTGCAAGTCTCTCAAGCATCATTTGTCATTTTCAGATCTGCTATCGCGATGGTATGCTGTGTTTGCTCTTTCGCGTGTGCGATCCACGCGAGCAGCAGTCCATCGAGTCCAAAATACGCGTCTACATGATTGTGGACAAGCGGTGAGTCATCTCACTCTTGTGACGATCTCTCGGCTAATCCCTTCCGTTTGCAGCACACGCGAGGGCGAGCTGGTTAAAACGCACACGGAACTCAAGCTAGAGGGCAACGGGGAGCAGTTGTTCGTGTGGCCAGATATTGTGTGCCATGTGATCGACGAGTCCAGTCCACTGCATCAGTTCAGCAATGCGAGGCTCTTCAATGCGGCACAGTTCGAGCTGTATGTGTCCATTGTGGGCACCTCCCCGGCCACCGCACAGATGACGGAGGCCAAAACCTCGTATGTGCCGCGTGAGATCTTCTGGGGTCAGCGCTTCGTCAATATCATTCACTACGATGTCACCAACGAGCGCTATGTGGTCGACTATGAGAACTTCAATCGAACCATTTCTGTGGACATGCCGCTGAAGCAGCTGCCAGTAAACAACTCCAATCAGCTGCGCCTGGAGTACAGAAGGGAATGATGTAATGATGTAAACAATTTGCTGGCTCCTGTATACAAAATTCTTTTAAAGATTCATCAGTAACAAACAGTTGAGCATTAAATAGCTTGGTAAAAATAGTAAAAATAATTGTAAACGCTTTAAAAATGCATAATAAAAGACACATCACTCGCCAGCGGATCCGCCATTGTCGCCATCTTCTCTTTCTCTCAGCAGGTGCCGCACTTGTGCCTTGAGCATCTGGTTCTCGTGCTGCAGTCGCGTAAACTCGTGCATGAAACGATCGCCCTGCAGCAGCAGGGCCAGGCCATCGCGAATCTCTTGTGTGTTCTCCAGCTGACTATTCCAGTAGTTGGACATCTGGCCAATTATTTGCCACTTGTTCTTCTCGCTCGCATACTTGAGCTCCTTCTCCAGATGCCCGAAGCGTTGCTCCACCAATTCGCGCAACTCTCCCATCTCCCTGCGCACATCCGTATCCGATTGGGCGGACAAGCCACTGGATGACTTGGCCAGCAATTGCTGCGGCTTCAGCTGTGTACCCGACGACTGTGGCGTGAGGTTGACATGATGTGGGGTACTATTTCTGCTGGCCGAAAGCATGCGCAGGCGGCGTTTCAGTTCGGCTTCCATCACTTGGGGATTCTCCTTGTCGCTGCCCGTGGTGCTGCTGGCACTGGCCAACGAGCAGTTGTCAGATGGCACTTCGCTGTGCTCATCGGTCTCGGCGATTTTCATTAGTTTCGCATCGCCAGAAATGTTGCTGCGATCCTTGAGTGGTCCGCTCAATGTTTCTGGACGAGAGGGGACAATTAGCAAATGGAAACGGACTCTGAATAAGTCGACTTACGATGCAAAGACTCGGCATTGGAGCTGTTGCACGAGTTGTCCACAGAGCTGAGACCAGAGCCACCCGCTGGACATATGCTCAGTCGCTGCGTATTGTCGTTGGGCTTGCGGCCCAACGTCTCCCAGTCGAAGCTATCGCGATGCATGGTCAGACGCGTGGACATGCGCTCGACGACCCGCGGTCCCTGGGCATCGAGAAAGTCACAGAATGAGTCCCGCTGTGGGCGAGCATTGCCACATCCTCCCGTGCCATAGCCCAGGCTGGTGATGCTATTCAGCTGCTGCTGAGTGCTCAGCAAATTGGCGGCAATAGACTTGCGCAGCTCGTCGCTGGGCACGCGTTCCACTTTGGGTGCTTCGCTGGTCACGTTGCCAGCGCTGGAGAAACTAATGCTCTGCTGCTCCTCCATGGGCGTGGGCACAAAGGCCACCCGACTCACGGCACCATCGTGGACACTACGCACGGCCAGCGGCGACTTGCTGTTCCGTATGTCGTAGGCAATCAGTTCACCTTTGAGATTTCCCGCACAAAAGTAGGTGCCGCACTCGCTGAGCGCCACCGTGGACAAGGGATGCGAATAGGTGAGCCGGCTAGACGCGGGCTGTGCCCGATTGCGGCGAATATCAAAGATATTTATCTTGCAATCGTACCCAACGCTGACCAGCAGCGAGGGCTGGGCCGTGCACATGCTAACGTCACGGCAAGGCGCATCATGGGCATCGCTCACATGAAAGATCTTGCGTTTGCTCTGGAAATCATAGACAGTGACGGCGCCCTTGTATGAGGCAATCGAGAGCTGAAACCGTTTGCTCGGATGAAAGCGCGCCAAGGTGGACCTGCAATTACATGCATCGAGAATAATGCGGAAGAGTTCCCACTTAATGGTAGCCCCACTCACTGCTCATCGATGGTGAATGTGTTAATCTTTTGCTTCGTCTTGGTGCCGAATATATTGATGGCGCCGCCCTCCTTCACCGCTGCTATATACTCGTCCGTGCAATTGTAGTCCACATAGATGACAGTGCTGCGCTGCTGATCCGCTGGAAATCTGTGGATTAGCTGTGCGGTGCGATAGTTGTATAGCTTCACACAGCCACTGGACTGGCCCAGGGCGATCTCCTCAGACGTCTGCTTCGCACAGCAAACACAAAACGCATTATCGATGGTTAATTTGCGGACTCGTTGTATCTCGGGTGCTGTCAATTGTATGGGTATGGTATGGTATAGTATGGACTATCTTTCAGATCTTTCCAATTACCTTTTTCCTCCTTCTCTCGTATGCGCATCACAGCCAAGCCCGCCATCTTATCCACCTCGACGAAGACCCGTCGCTGGGCATTGAATTGAAAATCTGTCGGCTCTCCATTTTCATGTACATATATTGACTTTGTCTCCAAGTCGGCAAAGTCGGAGAGCACGGTCTTCTTGGAGGTCGAAATTAACTGCATGATTAAATCAATATACAAAATTTCAAATTTGTGTGCGAAAATGCCACTTGCAGTGTGACCAACTTTAACATCAATTAAAAGAATAAGGTATAAAAAAAGTACATACGCATAGAAGAAACTTGGTTGACCGGCAACACTGACGTCACATTTAGTCAACATTTACGTTTTATGCTGTAGCCGTTTTCGTTTGAACCTTTTTCTGTAAGCAATGCAATAAAAAGGACTTCTGAAAACCTGCCAATCTTGTAGGAAATTTATGTATCTATCGGATAAAATTATTTGTTTAGGGCTGAGAGGGCCAACTAGCTACTAATATTAAACGGAATATCAAAATCGAGGAATATCAACGTTGAATGTTTTGAAAAAAAAAACAGTCGATACTATCGTAATAGTATCTGGCTCAAATAATTATTAAAAAACCATTGAAACCTTTTAGGAACTTGTCCATTGTAAAAATTAGATGCCACCTGCCCATTTGTTTACAAATTTGTCTTCGTATTTTATAGCAGCCAATCCAAACATATCAAAAGCGCAACGACTGTAGCTCGATACTATCATGATAGTCTCAAAACCATCGATAGTAGAGGCTAGCAGCAAAATATCGATACTATCGATAGGGCCCTCTTTGGTTTGACACCTCTAACAAGAGGAAATTTTCGACAGAATTAGCAATAAATTTGTAAAAAAGTTAACAACACCATGCTGATCTGGGACAAAGGCCATCTACTACAACAACACTAGAAGCAGCAAAACACACTTTGCGACACACATATACACGCAGCCCAGAGACAGTGACACCAAAAACAAGGAGACGGACTGACCCCGACACCTGCGAAAATGGAGGCGGATGGACTTACAAATGAACAGACGGAGAAGGTTCTACAATTTCAGGACCTGACCGGCATAGAGGATATGAATATATGTCGCGATGTGCTCATAAGACACCAATGGGATCTCGAGGTGGGTACACGTACACGTCAGGCTTAGGCTCCGGCTCAGCAGAATGCTGAAATTTACATTTTTTCGTTGCAGGTTGCTTTCCAGGAGCAGCTAAACATACGCGAAGGTCGACCCACAATGTTCGCCGCCTCTACAGAGGTACGGGCGCCGGCTGTGATCAATGATCGTTTCCTGCAACAGGTATTCTCGGCGAATATGCCCGGGGGTCGGACGGTTAGTCGGGTGCCGAGCGGACCGATGCCACGCAGCTTTACGGGCCTACTGGGCTATGTGATTAACTTTGTATTCCAATACTTTTACTCGACGCTAACGAGCATTGTCAGTGCATTTGTGAATCTTGGTGGCGGAAATGAGCCGCGATTGGTCACGGACCCCTTGGGCGATGTCATGAAGTTCATACACGACTACTATGAGAGATATCCCGAGCATCCAGTCTTCTATCAGGGCACATACGCACAGGCCCTGAACGATGCCAAGCAGGAGTTGCGCTTTCTGATTGTCTATCTGCACAAGGATCCCAGCAAGAACCCTGATGTGGATTCATTTTGCCGCGAGACGCTATCCTCAAGATCCATTATCGACTATATCAACACACACACGCTGCTCTGGGGCTGCGATGTGTCCTCGCCCGAGGGCTATAGGGTCATGCAGACGATTACGGTCCGGAATTACCCATTGATGGTAATGATTAGTCTGAGAGCCAATCGCATGATGATTGTGGGACGATTCGAGGGCGACTGCACCCCCGAGGAACTGCTGCGACGACTCCAATCGGTGACTGCCGCCAACGAGGTGTGGCTGAGTCAGGCTCGAGCAGATCGCTTGGAGCGCAACTTCACACAGACCCTACGACGACAGCAGGACGAGGCGTATGAGCAGAGTTTGCTTGCCGATGAGGAAAAGGAGCGCATACGGCAACGGGAGCGTGATGTGGTGCGACAAGCGCAAGAGGCTGAGGAGCGAGCCAGGCAGAATGTCGAGCTGCGTAAGCAGGAGATCGCCAAGCAGAAAATTGAATTGGCCACCCTAGTACCCGCCGAACCGCCCGCAGATGTTGCTGGTGTCATTGCAGTTGTCTTTAAGATGCCCAGTGGAACGCGACTCGAGCGACGCTTTCATCAGACCAATTCGCTTTTGGTAAGGTATACACAAATTTGAACCATGCAAAGCTCTTATCATTTTTATTGTTTATTCTATAGGATGTCTATCACTTTCTGTTCTGTCATCCTGAATCGCCGGATGAGTTCGAAATCACAACGAATTTCCCGAAACGTGTGCTCTATACCAAGGCCGATATGGATGGCGCCGAGGGCGCCGCAAATGAGACTCTCAACAAAACGCTGCAGGATGTGGGCCTAAAGAATCGCGAGGTGCTCTTTGTAAATGATCTGGAGGCGTAACCAAACACTGCACTACCAAATGATAGAATCGTGTTACCAGCTGCAACGCATTACCAAAACTTGAGCCAAGTTTTAAGTAGTTCGTAGTTCAACGTCCAAAAGTTGAAGGATAAACAGAATGCAAAACTATTCCTAATTTTAACATGAAGAAATATTAATATAAATAATTGTTTAACAATGTTTAGGTTGATTCTTGTAATCTATCGTAGCCCGCCTCCAAACACACACCCACACACACACACACACACAACACACAAACACACCATAAAGTAAAATATGCCCTTTAAAACATTTTCCATAAACAAAGTTTGGTTTTTTTTTCTTTATTAAGATGATTTGTTATGTTAGCTGTACTTATACATCCATTTATTCAACAACCTAAATAGAAACAAACTCTAATTGACAAATATGTGATTATTATTTCAACATGAAAGAAAAGATTTTATTTTATTATAAATTAAAGTAGGGTATAGATCGGGTCTATACTACCAGTTGACAAGTAACAAGTGCTCAAACGACGTAACACTTACGTTCCACTTGCGTTCCATCTTATTCCTACTTTCCTTTTATGCATTTATGTTGACCTTTTTTGCTGAAACCCTTTTTACTAAAAAATCCAATATACGGCAGTTCTTAAAACTAGCCAGACTTCTAGAAAATTGAATTATTGATCTGATAAAATTATAAGTTTAGTGCTGAAAGACTTAGCTAGCTTGTGATATTAAACCGAACTTTTGAAATCGAGGAATATGATTTCTGGACATGGAAAGGGAACAATTAGCCCATTAACGACCAAGGTGGTACGAATTTTATAAAACTTGAATAATTTAAGCGAAGTTCAGGGAAAAGATTTCATGCTCATTATTTTTTTTTTAACTAAAGGGGAAGGATGGATACCAGTATAATTTACAAAGAGTATTATATTCCCCGGTTTAACTCAAATTGTTCACCTGATTAAATATATGGGGCTAAGTGGGCTAAGTTCGTTTTCTGTCGCGGTCACACTGTTTATAACCGTTGCTCCTTGTTTGCCGATTTCAATTTATGTACAAAACTACGCATTATCTTAAAAACAAAACTGCCAACACCCTGTTACAACGTTGCGTAAGTATATTTGGTAATGTTAAAACAATAAGTACACATGTAGGTAGTGTTTTAAGCAATTTTATTAGCGGCATCGTAAATATGGCGTCTGTGCCGCAAGTCCCAGCGTGCACCAACACATTCACACATTGTGCAGGCTTGCAATTTTTTACAGCGGCGCTTTGATCACCTTTTTTTCCAGTAAAATGCCGAATAAAAATAATATTAATGAAAAAAACAAAGGCCCGGAGCAGGGTTTACTTAAGCAATCCACCGATAGTGCTTCCACCGCTCCTGGGGCGGTCGATATGGGTTCTGACGATGCAACTGCACCACATCAGTCGCGTTTGCTGCAGTCTTTCCTGAAAGGACACAGCAAAGCAGTGGACAACATCAAACGCAATAACATGGAGATTGCAAAAAAGATGCATAAGCAAACGAAAGCTGTGTTGGAAACGAAAGCTGAGAATGATCATCTCAAAATACAGTAAGTGCTGCACTCATAATGTCGATGCGTACTTGTTCAACGCCAAGTTTCTATTTTAGATTGAGCAACGCGGAGCAGGAGCTGAAGGAACTAAAGAAGACGCTAGAAGGGGTGAAAAGGAGCAACACGCAACTCAATGACACATACATAACTGTCCTGCAAAAGTACACCCACTGCGAGAAACACTATGACGAAGAGCAGAGCAAGATCAAAACGATGATCAATCAGTTTGAATCAGAAATTGCTGCAAAGCAATCGCGCAATGATGAATTGCAGGGCGAGGTACAGCAGGAACATAAATATGTAGTCCCTTAATCTAATCGAAATATCGTTCCTTGAATGATTTCAGCTCAAGACCGTGCAGGAGAAATACCTCGAAATGAGTGCCCAAGTCGTTGCTATGACCCAAACTCTTGAGCAGCAAAGGGCCGAATTCCAAGCGATGCAATCACAGCTTGGAGAGCACGTTAAGGAAAAGACGGAGGCCTGTAACGCTATGCAGAATATGGAGCAACAGTTGGCTGAACAAAAGCAGCTCCACGAGGTACTATTTTGGTGTCTGACAGTATCAATATGCCTCTTATTGATTTCATCTTACAGATTAGGATTTCAGAGCTGGAAACAGAGATGCAAAACCAGAATCTAGCACATGCCGATCTGATCGATCGCAACAAATTAGAGTTAAACGAGGCCAATCTGAATATAACGCGCATTCAGCGCCAGCATATGGAAATGGAACAGCGCTGTTGCGAGATTCGGCAGTCTAATGAAACACTCACAAATGAACTTGAGCAGCAGCGAAACCAACTCAAATCTGCTCACGCAGAGATCAACGAAAGAAGCCTATACCTTGGCGCATTGAAGGACAACCTAAAGCAAGCAGAGGATGCAAGGGACCAATTAATTAAATCCAATAGCGATTTGCTACGGCAAAACGAGCAAGCCGCAGAAGAGTTTGCCACTGCAAAGACCAAGATTGCTCGGGAATTAAAGAAAAAAACAGACGAACTTGAGGTAAGAATAATTAAAAAATATAGGCTGCTCGAGTTTTACATTCAGATTATTTTCAGGCCACGGTTTCACGACTAAAATATGAGCTGCAGCAGCAGAATCTGGCCTACGGCGATTTAAGCACACGGAACGAACAAGAATTAAATGACATACACGTCATGCTCTCCGATCTTCAAGGCAGGCTCAATGTGAGCCAGGAGCTTTGTCAGCAGAAAGAACTGGACCTTAAAAAGCTGGAGAGCGAACATCAAATGAAAACCCAGATTTTGCAGGACGAACTAAAGGCTGAAAAAGAAAAGTTAAGCGGACTATCTAAACAAAACCAGGTCTTAGTAACGCAGTTCCGTGATGATGAGCAGAAATACAAGGATACCATCAATACACTTCAAGCTAAACTGGAGCAACATGATAATAAAATGAATGCTCATCAGCAGCAGATGGAACGTTTGGTGGCTGAGAGAGACACACTGAATAACAATGTAAATCAGCTACTCGGCAAAAATGAAGAAATCGCCAATCAATTGGCAACAGCAAAGACTAACTTTGAGCGGGAGCTAGAGTTGCAAAAGGACATCCTAAAGGTACAAAATAAGCAAGTGGCTTTAATTGTGCAACAAATCTAGAAATGTATTCTCTTTGCAGAAAAAGTTGGCCTGTCTGCAAATGGAGCTAACCAGCAAGATAAACGAAAACTCTGAGTTGGAACGCAAAAAAGATGTAAGCTTGAGTCGTCAGTCCTGCGTGATCTATGTGATAATCTCTATTCTGTTTTCAGGGTATCATAGCTGAGCTGAAATTCAAGATGAATCGCATTGGCAGCGTGTTCGAGCAGCCTGTCAGCAGTGTCCGAGTTTTAAGACCGGAGCCAATCCTGTCCAAGACTAACCAAAATACGAATCCTGAATCGCTGTCGGCTATTGAAAGTCCACCTGCTCCTTCACGAAAGCGTTTGTTAGGAAAACAACGAATTGAAGCCATATCGGATTCGTCTGACTTTCTCAGCGATAACGAGGCTCCACCCCTTTCAAAGGTGGTATGTATTCATCAATTGGTATATTTATGCTCTGCAATTATTGAAACGCGCTGTGCGTCCTTTTATTTTCACAGAAACCGGTAAACAAGAGAGGAATTGTAGGAGCCAAACGCGCTCGTTTAATTCAAAATGAGAAAGAAAACAATGATACTTTCGAAAAGTTAAAGGAAGGCGATTAAAATCTTTATAGTATTGGTCAAACCATATCGTCTTATCCGTAAGACCTTATATATAGCGTTTCCCAATCTAGTTAGTACAAATACTCATAATACTAATATATCTCATACGACCTGCTCTGGTTAGCCAAGTCGTATTTACGAGAAAAACCATATATTTTTTTTTTATTTATGTACATATGTAGACAACCTTGATACATAATCATTAAAAAGATGGATAAATTGCTTCAGTTTCTTGAGGAGAACCATATATTTGGCACATATGTAAATATTTAAACATAATCATTATTGATATAGAAATTGAAACATGGATAATTCATTTAAGTTTCATAAACACCGAGTACGGGGCCTTATTAATTTTTTTTAAAGTTTTATTTGTATATTAACTGTTTTGAAAAACTAATACAACTTTTTCTTATCCGTAAGACCTGATCCCAATCCGGAAAATATGGATAATTAAGTTTCTTGAATATTGAGTTAAAAAAATACAAATTAATTGAATAAATTTGTAAATTTATTTATGGACCTGCTCTGGCAAGGCTTATTTGGGAGGAACACTATGTATTCAAGATAAATTAACTTTGTAAACATTTTGAAAGCGTTAATGGCGAAATAAACTTTATTAAATATTTATCCATAATGCGTACATTTGGATAAGGGTGTTGATGATATAAGTACATTATATGTACACATCTATTTGTATTATTTGTAACCCATAAACAAAAGTATTCATTCTTATTTGTACATTTAGCATTTAACATGCAAAGAAAAAACTAAAAATATAGCCAGCATATCATTTTAGTTGATATATTGAATTATTGAAGCTTACAGCTAACTGAAATTAGTTTGTAATTGGAAACATAAATATTTATTGTTGTTAGAGACTATGCACATACTGTCCCGTGTAAATCATTTTATCCATGGATTTCACATCTTCTACTTAAATCATTTGTAGATCTTGCGTACGCTTTTGTACGCCCTAATCCTGCTTCTGGGAGAGTTCACGTTTATGGACCTTGGAGATGCGGGTCCTCCAAACCGAGGATGCCACTGTCCCAGGGACAATGGATCCTCTCGTGGCGCTCAATGAAGTTGGTCTTGAGGGTCTCCACGACCTAGCTGAAGTTGTTCTCAACGCGGGTCACGGCTTGTTGGGCAAGTTATTGCTGTTAGCCTCAGGTTTGAAAGACGTGAGATATAATATCATAAAAAAAGACAAATAAATAGGTGTGAAATGGGTCTATACGGGTTTGAAATCATTTTTCGCTTTCTGATGCGAATGCAAGGAATAAATCAACTTTCACCTCGCACCTTGAATACCCTAAGGGACAATTATGACACACATTATGTATATTTACATATGAATATCCGTTTATACATTTTTTTTTTCTATATTAAAAGTACAAAATCATACAAGCGATACACAATATAAAAGTTCTGATAATGTGGGGCAGGCTTCTTCAAAAAGTAGCATAGAGTTAAAGTAAAGGGTATTCGCGTTAAATATTCGTTGTACGAACGGGCACATCTTTACACGTCAGACGGGTCAGACGGCATATTTGACTGAAAAGTCTGCGGTCACACTGAGGCAGACGACAAGACGAACGTCGAAATTTTCGACAGAATTAGCAATAAATTTGTAAAAAAGTTAGTAACACCATGCTGAACGCTGTGTCGCGTGCATATGTGCTTGGCGGTGCCCAGGCGCTGTCCACTGGCCTCAAGGCGAGCGGCGCTGCTGTCAATGCTATTGGTAAGGCCCATCGGGAAAAAAAACATTCATTACATAATGAAAGGAGTACGGAAAAGATAAAGTTCTTGCGCTGGCTCAACGGGCATACAGTTTAGCCAACTATTAAAGGATATCTAACCCGATTTGGCAAATTTCCTTACGTAATTTCAACATAACCTCGCCCATGGCCAGGCAAATGAAAACAACTGCTTTGCGAATGAGCGTGTGAAGCAGAGACACAAACGCAGATACATTTGCAGGGCCTTTGCCGAGATTCGTACTAATCCGCTTTCATACTTTCAGCTAGCCGCCAGGCCCACACCGATCTGCGGGTGCCCGACTTCAGCGCCTACCGTCGCGACTCTGTCAAGGATAGCCGCCGTCGCAACGAGTCCGCCGAGGAGCGCAAGGCCTTCTCCTACCTCCTGGTTGGTGCCGGAGCCGTTGGCGGTGCCTATGCCGCCAAGGGCCTGGTCAATGCCTTACTGGGATCGATGAGCGCCTCGGCCGATGTACTGGCCATGGCCAAGATCGAGATCAAATTGGCGGACATCGCCGAGGGCAAGTCCGTCACATTCAAATGGCGTGGCAAGCCGCTGTTCATCCGTCATCGTACTCAGGCCGAGATTGATACGGAACGGAGTGTGCCCACATCGTCGCTGCGTGATCCAGAAACTGATGATGTATGTAAAACCTGGATCCTCCACTGAAAGCCTGGCTAATTGTGTTCGTCCACCATCTCTTGCAGCAACGCGTGACCAAGCCCCAGTGGCTGGTGGTTATTGGTGTGTGCACACACTTGGGATGTGTGCCAATCGCGAACTCTGGCGACTTCGGTGGCTACTATTGCCCATGCCACGGCTCTCACTACGACGCTTCGGGCCGCATCCGCAAGGGACCGGCGCCACTGAACCTGGAGGTGCCCGCCCACGAGTTCCCCGATGAGGGCACCCTCATCGTTGGTTAGAAACATTTACGGTGCTGTTATCGTTTAAGCCCTGCAGAAGAAAACCAACAAAATAGTGAATGGATTGATGTTAATTAATAAAAACAACCCAACAGAACTTCTGAGCACAAACGAACATTTATTCGAATTGCAATGGAAACCGAATCGCGTTCAAGTGAAAAGTGTGGCAAACATGTGAAAAAGAAAACAATGAAGAATGGAAGGAAGTTCATGCGAAATTCCAGACTAGAGGCGTTTAATAACAAATCCTAATAATACGCAACTATAAACGGATGAACCACAAAGCATCACCCGCGTTTCTTTCGCTCCTCGATCTGCAGTTCGAGCAGTTGGTTCTTCAGGCGCAGACCGTGCAGCTCTACCGCCTGCTTCTCCATATCAATGCGGTGCTTCTCTGCAAGTCTAGCGTTCTCATCTCGATAGTAGTCCCTTTGCATCTTTATCTTTTCCTCCCACAGTTTATTCCTTCCTTCCTGTAAGCCACACTTGTCTTGAGAAAAGGTACTTTAATGAGGGCAAGGAAACTTACCTCACTACTTTCGGAGTAGTTGACTTCATATTGGAGCTCACTCGGCACCCGATTTTTGCTTCCTGCAATGAAGAGACAGAATTATTCGATTGCAAATGGGCACATGGACCCTGGGTACTTGCCTTTAAAATCGGTCATTGACGGATTGAAATCAAGGTTTTCTGAAAGGTAATAAAACAAAATTAGTTCCTCCGTTAATTGATTAGGAGTAATTGGGATTAGAAGTACGCACCATTGGCATCGTTTGCTTCCTCCGACGGCGATGAAACGGAGGAGGCTAGTGTCATGTCGCCGTTACAGCGCCTCTCCTTCCTTTTCGTATTGGTATATTTATCGCGAAGCGCCTCCCACGACCGAACGACACCTGATTGGGTGCAGAACTCCTCGCATATTTTTGCCCAAGTCTCGGCTTTCAGCTTCCAGGTGGCCGCATCACTCTTCTTGTTCAATACTATATCCTTGTGGTTCTCCACCAGCTGGAAGAGGATGCGCTCCTCTGCCTCCGAGAAGTTTTTGCCGCGGGCTCTCTTCAGAATTCTTGGCATTGTTTGACTTGGTTGTTCCAAACAAAAAACAGCTGTGTCTGTGGAGTTGCCACTTCGCTGCGACAGATCTAATCAATTATATTGCTTATTTTAAATGAATTTACTTTGTGAGTGTTTTGCACAATAGAGCAGCAATTTATTTATTTAAATGTTTTAGAAACGTTCATGTGACGTTCGACTATTTCCAGCGACTTGGCAGCGTTAGTCAATGTTTTGTATATCTTTGATATATCGACATTTCGATAGTGGTTTTGCAGCCCTGCTCCTTTTGTTGTCGTTTTGTTGAAACTTTATTCGCGTTAAATTCCCATCAAAATGGCTGAAGAAATTGATGACAATGACTTTTATCGCGAGAACTTCAGCGCCGACTCGGACTGGGAAGTGTTCAATGCCCAGCTGGGCGAAATACTCCAGAAATGGGACGTCACTGCCAATGGCGATGTTGGCAGATCTCTGAAGCCCGACGAACTCTTTCGCTGCAAGTGGAAGGTGGACAGCGAGACTCTGGACATGCTAAGCAATGGCATTGAGGTGGAGCACTATCGGGCACAATTGGATGTGGAGGAGGAGGACATTAAGGAGGAGATAAAGGGGAATAGCTGCCTGCAGAGAACACAATGCCATCTGGATCTGATGGGCAGCGGAAACAGCTTTGGTCCGCCCATACGCAGCAGCTGCAATGAGCTGCACACCCTGGCCCGAATTTATGGCCTCCGGCGCTTCATTGTCCTGCATCCGGTCAAGGCCAGCGTCAACTACATGAAGTCCACGGCGGAGTTCAATTTCTTTCTGAGTGCCGCTGCTGTTGTGGCCGCAGAGGTGGGAAGTGTTGTGCCCATCTTTGTGCAGATCTACGATCCCAAGTGGAATTTCTTCACGGGTGTGTCGTTGGCGCCCGCTCTGAGGACCAACTTCCGTTTGATTGGACTGGAGAAGGCCCCGCCCGAGTGTCGCTACTTGATGGGTCTGCTGACGCTCTTCAGGGAGAAGGTGCCTGCATCTTATCCGCAGTCTGCCATGGTCTCTGTCTGCACCACTTACGCCCTGGACACGATGCGCATTCGAATGCCCATGTATGTGCCCTTCGATCATGGCCTCAACTCCGAGGACATAGTGGTTGCTGGAGAAGTTCTCCACGTGGATGTGCAACAGTTTTATGCCCTGCCACATGGCTATACGCCCGAATCGTGCACAGAGATCTATTTGGTCTACACCTGGCCGGAGCTGTCCGAGCATGTGGCCTTCGACAGCGAGCAGAGGACTGACTTTATACCCTCCAAGGCGCCGCTGGGCAAGGTGTATCTCTCCGTCGAGGCCTCCTCTTATCTCTCGTGCTGCCTGAGGGACTACCAGGCTGTGGCCAGCGTCCCACGCTCCCTGGAGTCCTACGTGGGACGCAATTTCTCGGGAACCAGCAGCGGTGCCGAGGTAATCAATCCTTTGGACAAACTAACAGAACACAAGTTGACCAAGCGACGGGATCGCAATTATGAGCTGCCTTCGCAAGCGGGTCTAACGAAGCGTCTGCCCGGCCCAATGACCGAAAGTGAACTGAGCGAACTGCTGGCCTACATGTTTCCCGATATGCATCCCGAAATGGCACTGTTCCCATATCTCAAACAGAGTTTCAAGACGAAGGTGAGCTGCTCCACATACGAATATCATCTTTGGGTACCTTAAACAACCTTCGATTACTTCCAGTTCGATCCCATGCGCATTAAGAGTGCCGTTCCCGACTCGCTGGTGTGCCGCCTCAGCTGCGTTCTCGCCACCTGCCATGCCCATTCGGGCAGCCTTGAGGGCATGGCCCAACTGTGGGCCGCCTTCACCCGTCAGCTACGCTTGCTGTGGGACAATTCCCTAGCCGTGCCCGGGTGAGTCCATCCACCAGAATCCAGCTACATATTTAACAAAAATGCCCCCCAAATCGTAACAAAAATATGCTTTATTCGGAACTTGATGCGTACGAAACCAAAAAACAGAAACGAAACACGTCTGGTAAATGTTCTAGTCTAGTAAATTTAGTTGTTTTTTTTTTTTTTGCTAATTTGCTGTGAAGCCGACAAGTTAACATTTGAATTGGATTTACGTGTAACAATTGAACGCACATTTAAATATCTAAACGGTAGGGTTTGTCGGGGATCCTTCGGTCGTCTTCGGTGTCGTCTTCGGTGTGGCTTGAGATGAGCTGCATTGCTTCGATGCCTCCTTGAAGGAGATCCCTCCCTCCTCCCCACTACTACAATTTTATTGATATTTTGTTTTTACACTTTTGTTGTTTCGGGGATATAGCACTCGATAGCTGGCAGTATCTGTTATAAGTACATATATATATTGCTCATCTCCGTTTTGGTTTGGTTTTTCCATGTGCAACTAAATCTAAATCTAAGCACGTGCTCCCTCCTCTCTGTATCATACGAGTACATTCTGTAGGATCTCTCCTATATCATCATACCTTCTCCAGGTGCTAAGGCAGTTGAATACTTAATTTTTTTTTTTGTTTTTGTTTCGTTTTTCTATTCTTTTTGTTTTTTTTTTTAACACTAAATTTGATTTAACTTTGTTCTTAGAATATGTTGTTGGGATTTGGATATTGTTTCGTTCTACTATTCATTTTGCTTGCTTTACCAAGTGAAACATTTTTTTTGTCGTTATATGTAATTAATATTTAAAGTTTTTTCTTTGAATTTATTGCCTAAAGTTTATTGGAATACTTGTTTGTTGCTTGTCTAAATAATTGCTCCCGTTTTCCACCTAAATTGTGCTTACATATCTAATGCTCAAAGCCATGTCTATAACCGTTGTCTTATGCTTACAATATAGTCGAATATATATAGTATAGATAGATAGATATATATATATATATATTGCTTACTTCACTAAGTATTCAGTGCCAGACCTGAGCGTTGTTATTGGATCTCCGCGTAGAGATCCCGCCCAAGGGCACTAAATATTGTTAACTGTCAACTGCGTCCGGATTTGCCCGAACTGTTTTGTCCGGGCTCGTCCCTCGATATCGTTCGATATCGATAATGCTAAGAAATTAAATCGTTTAAAACGCTTACAATTAGAGTTTTGTTTTTGTTTTGTTTTTTGTTTTCTATATACAAAGATTTAGGGGCTTGACTTGGGTCAAGGGATAAATAAAAAAAAAAATGATTTGTAATTGTAAAATATTAATTTTATTAAAATCTCACTAAAAATTAAATGGAAATCATAAACATTATAAAGAACTTAGCACACGAAAAAATATGATTGCAATTGAAGCAAGAAAAGAAACTGAAATTGACTTTTAAAATTTAAAACTAAATCTTTAAAGGCAGTGGAAATTGTTTTGATCGTGTTTGATCGGGAACTGAAATGAAAAATCAGTTTATGGCTGGGATAGACAAACATAGAATGAAATTCATACATACATACATACATACATATATAGAAGAAATAAGTAGAATTAAATTGTGTTGAAGGAAAAAGTTCTAGACTAGAGAATTGTTTTTGTTGGGTGTGGTTTTTGGGCAGGAATTACAATTACTGGTTTTTTTTTTTAAATATCGTATCCTCTAGGAGAGTTCCCTTGAATGGGCGCCGTGTTTGCGTCTACTATTTGTGTGTTCTGTTTGATTATCTTCCATACATACATACATACATATATGATGGTTATTTACATATAGAATATATTGCGGTTTTTGTGCTCTCTCAGCGACTTCTATGCGGTGTCTATCCCAGCATAAAGAAAAGTATATATATTCCATTTGCTAGAGCCTAACATTAGTTTAAACAGATTTTTAATAGCTATTAAGTATAATTAGTACCATATTGACTTAAGTTTTAGTTTCTTTGATTGCTTAACATCTGGTGTTTCCCATCCATCGCTTTCCATCGGTCGGTTGTCAACAACTAATCGCAAAAAAGAAGAACTACGGAAAGTATTTATTGCACTCTAAACAGCATATAAAAATATCGTCTGTATGTACTGTAAATACATATCAGTATATGTATATGTATGTATGTTTCTACCACTTTAACTCTTGCATATTCAATTGTTGTGTGTGTGTGTGTGTATTTCCATTATGCAAATCTCAAGATGCCGCATGCGACAACAGCAACCATTTGAAGGGGGGCAGAATATCAGAATCAGAATTGCACTTACAGCTTGGCCCTGTCTGCCACTGCCACTGGCACTGCCACTGCCACTGTCTCTGTGTCGGGATTGGGGTCGGTGTCAGCCAATGTCAAGTTCAGAGACAAGGCCACATCCTGCCCAGCTGCCTCATGCCGCTGCTGCACTTGCTCAATGCTTGACACCGAGGTGCTGGCAGCCAAGGATGAGGTCGCCTCACGCTCTCCATCTGTCTCTGTCTCTGCCCCATCCTGCGCTGTTGCTGTTGTGACTGTGGCAGTCTCCTCCTCTTCGCTTAGACTACAATTACATGTACAATTACAGTTATCACTAAATGTATGCGCCTTATAATTGTTGCTAGTTGTTGCTGCTGTTGCTGCTGTTGCTGCTGCTTCTATATCATGATTATTATATAAAATATTGTTAGACGTTGCCGTTGCCATTGCGGGTAACTGTAAACGAAAGGCATTGCTGCGGGGAATGTGGCATGTGGCTGCCGTGATGCTGCCACTGCCACTGTTGCTGTTGCATCTGATGCTGCCCCTGTTGCTGTTGCTGCTGTTGCTGCTGCTGTTGCTGTTGCTATTGTTGCTACTGTTGCTTGTGGGATGATGATAAATGATTTCCTGACGTTCATATTCGTTGAAATAGTTCTCCACAACAATGCCACTTGCTGGCGTGGCTGCTGCTGCTGCTGCTTGTGCTGCCGCTTGTGCGGCTGTGGCATCTTCTAAGTTGGCGGCTGTCAACGCAGCCAAAGGCGCATGCTGCAGATTGTTGCTGTTGCAGGTGATATTGCTGTTGCTATTATGGAAATTGGCTGCTCGAGGCACCACATCGGGCGGCGAGGTGCAACGCTCCGTCTGTGGCATATAGTAATGTAATCGTTGTTGTTGCTGTTGATATGGCTGCTGCTCCAATTGCTGATTGTTTCTATGTCGCTGTTGTTGTTGTTGTTGTTGCTGTTGCTGATGTTGCAGCTGCAAATGTTGCTGTTGCTGCTGCTGATGTTGTTGCTGATGTTGCAGATGTTGTCTACCATTTCTGCGCGACTGTTGCTGCTGTTGCTGTTGCTGACGCCGACCATCCCTTGTGGCACCACTCCCATCGATGGCCGGCGTCAGATATTGTCAGAAAATGCCATCCAGATTTAATACAACATTGAAATATCAGGATAACGTAAGCCGCCCTCATAATGGCACTAAACCGTTGCGCGTTGTCGGATTGCGCGCCATATATATGTCCATATCGTGATCGGTCCAATTATCCGATGTATCGCAGTAGTTGTTCAGCGTATGCGTTGAGCCCGCCTGCGAGTATCTGTAATTGTTGCAAGTACATACATCGATTATATCATTCACTATATCTATATATCCATCCCAGCACCATTATCCACTCTGCCAACAGCAGACTTCTGCAGCATAGCATTGCCCCATGATTTGTGGCAGTAAAAATGGTGGAATCCAAGCGAAACGCAATTAAAATTAATGGAATCAGTAAATTTAAACCGGCAGAGGACCAGCCAGTGGAGTGAGTGGGGTGGGCTTAGGTGGTGAAAGGAATGCGCTTATGGTAAATCCACATGCATTCAATGCTCAACAGAATTTACAGACAGATGAAAGTTTGATTTGATTTCCAGCCATACATATAAAGTAAAGTCGGATCTCCAATCAAGGTTGAATGCTGCGAGAGCATTGGGGTGCTGGTTAATGGTTAATGAAAGTGAATTGAATTAAGGTTGAAAGCGAATTTTAGTTTTAATCGATTTGGGGCTTAGCTGGGGGAATTTATTACGCTTAAAGATTGTTTTATTAAAGTAAAAATTAATCCTCTACCGTTTGAGTTACTGCAGGACAGTCTGAAAGTATTATTTAACTGCTCTTTGGAGTTGTCATATATATATATGCAAATACATATAAATCCATTCAAAAGTGGTTATAATTATGGCACAAATGAATGCCATATTAATTCCCATCATTTTATGATATATTTCTACTTTATGATTATTTCTTTTGCCATCATTTGATTGCAACTTAATTCTGAAATGATCTCTGCGAGAGTGCTGCGGAGTGCAGTAGTTGACATTTAAAAACTTGTCTTTGGAACGCTCCTCCAGACACTCCTCCAGACACTTTCCCCATGGCCTTGTAAATCTGAGTCTCCGGCAGATACTTCCCCAAATGCTAATTAAATTAATTGCCAAACCAAAAGGCCATAAACAAAGAAACGTAAAAGTAGAATTGAAAGTGTGATTTGTGGTTGAGTTTTGATTAAGCAGCTTAACAGCTCAAGTGGTGACAGATGTGTGTGTGTGAGAGTTAATTAGTCTGCTTGCATCTGCTGCCATGTGGCTGCATGTGGCAGCTGTACTTACCGACTTCCCGGTCGATGGTTATGTATGTGCGTGGCATTGAGCTGATCGCGTGATCTGGAGCGCGGCCGCGATCGTCTGGCACTGGAGGCAATGCTGGCGGGTCCACCGCCGCCCACCATGCCGCTCATGCTCATCAGGCTGCTGACGGGCAGGCCACCTGGACCCCCCATTGGTCCCATACCGCCGCCGCCGCCGCCGCCACCACCACCGCCGCCACCGCCATTGCCGCCATGAATGGAGCCGGCGTAGGAGGCGCGCGACATGCGTTCGGAGGCAGCGGCCAGGGACTGACGGGACTGCCGCAGCTCTGGGCGAGAGTTGACCAGATTCGAGGGGAAGGCGCTGCCCAAATAGCCGCGATGCGAGTTGTTCGAGAAGCTGTGCTGCGACTGGCCATCGGCAATGGAACGACTGTGATGTGTGTGCATGTGTCGTGTGGGTTGGAATGGATATTCGGATGCGTGTGTGTGTGTGTGGCACGAACAAACAATGAAACAAACAAAACGAACGCAATATTAAATCATAACTGAATGCCGAAGGAGGAGAAACGCCTCATCAAATATGCAGCAAGCTCAATGTGGGTCAAGCAAATGTTTGTCCGCAGCGTCTGACTCTTTGATTGGAATGCCTGTGGTCTGTGGAGTCTTACCTGGATTTGCCCACTTTCCCAGGCATGCCGGAAAAGTGGCTGCGCATATCATCGGGCTGCTCAACGGGATAGATGCGGGGACGCGGTATGGAGCGTCCACTGTACGCGGATACTTGATCCCATTCCTGCAAGGAATCACATAATATAATATGATAAGTAATAATATTATTACGATAAAATATTATATTTAGTGGGATATTTATGAGCAATAATTCAACAACAGCAACTAAGATTTTTCTTCTAGGTTTTCGATTTTTTTAGTTGCGTTCCTTAAGCCCCTCTGCCAATCGTCTCCCAATCTCGTAGAATTCTCCAATCAGAGTTTGTGCCTATCTCTTTTTAGCCTTAGCCTCTTAGCCAGTCTTCGTTTCGCTTCCTTCAGTTTCTTTCTAGCCTTCCTAAAGTCCTCTTACCTTCGCATTGCAGTCTCCAAAATGTCATTTAAGCATTCCTGCAATTGTTTTTAGATCATATTTGCAGCTCCCTGAATCTTTTCAAAGGCCTAAACCTTTTGGTGACGTTTTAACCTCATTCTGAATCTCTGCTATCCTCTTTTATTCCCCCTAAATATCTAGCAGCAACTCTTCTTAAAAATTCTATCATCGCATAACCCAATTATCCCCCCCATTTTTCTTCCATTAACTTTTTGGCAACGCCACCAGAAAAAGTATATCCGAAATACTTTGAGTACGTATTATTTAGCTACGCTGTGGTCCGTTTAATTTGTTGAGAGCCGTAAATGCCCGTACAATCAAGAGCCATCAAATCGCGTTTGCTGCCAATTTTCGCCAGTCATGGTCCGAACAGCTAGCCGGCTAGCCCCGCAGCCACAGATAATTTCCTTGGCAGGCTGCATAAAAGTGGAACTAAACCGAGTCGAACGATGGCATGGGTTGGGTTGGGTTGGGTATGCTATTGGATGGGGAGATGGGGAGCCTCCGCCTTACCTTGTGATTGTTAAATGCCGATAGCGTTGCAATGGAGCCAAGTGGGCCCGGTGAACCGGTCGGACCGCAGCAATTAACAGGCAGACCTCCAATTGGCAGTGGACTCTTCTGTTGGCTGTTCTGCAGCTTGCGCGAGCGCCTGCAATGGTTTAAGAAGAAATGAGAATGTGAATCAGCATCGGCATCAGCATCAGAATGGAGAAAGGTAAGCCAGCTTAGAGTGGACTCGAAATATGCAATACCCTGCGAGGAAACAGAGCAGAAATGGGTCTGGGAAATGGATTGAAAATGGAAAATTGCACTGAGAAAATAGCAGAAATGTTGCACAGAAAAAGATATACTCTCTCTCTCTGCCTTTTGTAGGGTATAATAGCATTGTGGTTGATGCTGCAGGATGATGAAGTAAGCAGATAGCTTAAATAGAGCCAAAGCGTAACAAATCCAATCGAGAGAGAGAGAGAGAGGGCGAGAGAGAGAGGCAGAAGTAGGAGGAACCCATGGCGTGGCCACAACTTAAGGATTTGCGATAAATCAGCCAGCCACTTTGGCCAGTCATTGGCTTTGTCTGTGGCTCTCCTGCTGCCTCCTGGCCCCATAACTCATGGCCCGCTGAAGGAGTCGAGGCTGGGGACTCACCTGCTGGCAGCAATGAACACAATCACGGCCACAATGATGGTGCCACAAATGGCGGCACTGGCCGCAATCGTTATCTTGTCCATATTGGAGGCCTGCGAGGCCACGGTGCGCACCTCGCGGCACTGCTGATACGGCACCGTCTCCGGCGTCACATGCAGCTCCTCCAGCGAGATCACACACACAATGATGCACTCCTGGGCGGGCACATTCTTGATCTTGAACTCCCGCTCGCTGGCCTCCAGTGGCGGTCCCTGCTTGAAGGCCTTCTCCCCGAACAGGCGATAGACCACGCGGAATCCCAGGATATTGGCGGTGTCCGAGTCCCACTGAATGATCACGGAGCTGTCCTGCCGGAAGGCGTGCTTCACCTGCACCTCGTTGGCATCGTCGATCCGTGTGCCCCGCTGCGGCGGATAGCCCAGCACCAGCGGTGGCCGCTGCGGCTTGTGCGCTCCCCCATTGTTGTTCACGCCCTGACGCCAGCCGGGCGCCTGCTTGCTGTTCGCATGCACACTCGACGAGGAGGAGGATGAGCTGCTCGTGGTGATGGTGGTCGCCTGGACGGTTCCGGTGCCATTTGCGGATAGGTTTGTTGCCGCCGATGGCGGGGCAGTGCTGGCTGAAACGGTTGCAGTTGTCTTGGCAGGCAGACGCGTCTGTTCAAGCAAAGAAAACGAAGCATTAAAATCCACATCCCCATTCCCCATTCCCAATCCCCAGCCAGTATCCTGCCGTCACTCACCGTGCTCGAACTCCTCGTTGTTGGCTCCTCTGTGGTTGTTGTTGTTGTGGTTGTCGTTGTCGTTGTGCTTGTGGAGCTGCTCTGGACACTACTGGACACCGGCGAAGAGGCAGCGGTGCCGGTGCCCGTGCCCGTTCCCGTTCCCGTTTCATACTCCACGGAATCGGGCGACGAGGCCAATGTTGGCTTCAGGTTATCGGCCAGGCCAACTGGACCACGAAGCGCCGCATCGGCAATGTCCGGACAACTCAGCTCTTCGGGCTGTATGGAGTAGAAGCCACGGTCCCGGAAACGCGGTGGGGTGCCACAGAACTGTGGATTGCGCTCTCGTGATGTGACCTGAGGGTGGGTAGTAGTAGGGGTGAGGCATGAAGTGTAAACATACAGTTGGCAAGTTAATGAAACGTACAGGAACTAACTTTAATGCAAGGAATGTTGACAAGAGCAATTCAAACGGAAAGAAATTTCCAAGTGAAAGAGAATCCAAAAAATACTTGAAAATATTTCCCATTCTTTTGTTTTTGTTGCTATCTATGAGCAGAATGCGAAAATTCCTCTTTAAAAATCCTTTAAAGAATTGAAATCTTAGTTTTAAGGACCTTTCTAGAGGAAACTTCTATGGAATAATTTATTTTAATTTTCTTTGATAAATTTTCAAGCATAAAAGTAATCATTGGGACAAATCTCTTCATAAATAAATTCCCTACTAAGGTCTTAGCCTCTCTTCGTTCACTCGAAATTCCTCTGGACAGAGAGACTTATTTTCAATAGATCTTTTCTCTGAGTGTAATGCGTACCTGCAGGTCTCCGTTGCGTATCCACTCGGCTACCCATCGAAGCTTGCAGTCACAGTGCAGGAATCTGCCCCCCAGCGAGAGGCCACGCAGCGTAGCGTTCAGGTGGGCAAAGGCGCCCTCGGGCACGGTGCTCAGTGGGTTGCCATCGAGGGCGAGCAGGGTGATGCCCGGATTGCCACGGAAGGCGGCCTCCGGCAGGCTGGTCAGCAGATTGAAGCCAATGTCCAGGACGCGCAGCTCCTTCAGCGAGTGCACCGCACCGATGGGGAACTCGGCCAGCAGATTGTTGAGCAAACTCAACGAGCTGAGGGTCTTGCGCACACCCGCAAAGGCCGTCTCGCCAATGCTCTGGATGAGATTCCTCTCCAGATTCAGGGCAGTGAGCGCATCCAGACTGTCGAACACACGTATGCCGCCCGCTCCGGGCAGCTCCTTGATGCCGTTCTGGGACAGATCGAGGAAGGCCAGACTCTTGAGCCCTCTGATGCACTCGGGCACACGTCGCTGCTTGGTGCCCTTCAGGTTGAGGTTCTTCAGACTCTGTTCGAGTCCACGGAAGGCGCTCGCCGCAAGGGTCACATTGTTGTCGTTCAGCTTGAGAGTGGAGAGCTTGCTCAGTCCATTGAAGGCATCGTCTGGTATGCGGGTGAGCTGATTCTTCGATAGATCCAGCAGATTGAGCTTGGCCAGCAATTGCAGCGCCTTCACCGGCACATCGCTGAGCAGATTGTCCTGCAGATTGAGGTTACGCAGCACACCCTCCTGGCCCTTGAAGGCGCCCTCCGCTATCCGCTGAATGCCACAGCTCGACAGCTGCACATTGTGCAGGCTCAGATTGCTGAAGATCGCATTCGGCAGTTCGGCTATCGTGGAGTTGTTCACGTACAGCAGATCCACGGGCTTCAGCCGCGCATAGGTGTTCATGGCCCGCAGCAGATCTTCGAAGTTCACCTGCAAAAAGATTTTAGTTTTGGGATTTATCCTTAGGGATGGATGCCTTACCTGGTCACACTGCACGCTCAATTCCCTGCCCAGATTGTAGGCACATATGCAGCTGGTCTGCAGGTCGGGCACATCCCTCTGCCAGGGACATTGTGCCGCCGCCTGGGCCCCCCAAAGGAGTAGCAGCAGCAGGGGCGTCGTCGTCGTCGTTGTGGCTGTCGTTGTTGTTCGGCTGCGTCTCATCTTGGTGCCGGCATAGAGCTGTGAAAGAAGACAAATTTGCTGTTAGAAAAGTGAAGGTTGTCTGGTCCAGTTGGGTCATAAATTATCCAATTAATACTGTCGCCTGGCCAGGACTCAAGCCATCCCACACCTTCCCGCCCATCTTGGTAGAGTGAGAGCTTTCGTTTGGTCAAGACAGGCGATATGGAGAGTGTTTTAGTGTGGGTTGGTCCAGGCTTATATCAATCAGTTTGGCAGGCTACTTTCAATTTCATTTTCATGCTCGTTAGACTGCAAACAGTGCGTGAAAGAGGGAAGAGGGGCAGTTGCCTGATCCTTGGGGCAGTTTAGTTTTGATTAATTTGCCTGTCTGCCTGTCAAACGAGGTGCTTCACAGTCTCAGTCACTCTTCTGCTCTCCTACCATAAAAAAATAGGCATAAAAAAAAAGGGGCAAGCGAAAAAGAAATAAAGGAACAGACGTAGCACCCAGTAAATCCTTTTCAAAGTTTCACCGCAGCACAAAAAAAAAAAAACAGTGTTACGCGGCGCAGTGTTTTTTTGTTAGCCATTTAATTTAATTTAAACGAATCATAAAAAAAAAGCCAAGCACGTGATGGTCTGCCCTCTCACGAAACCCAATCAAACAATGGGTGAAAGGTCAGCAAAAACGGGCGGGGGGAAGGGTGAGATAGGAACCAGAAGCTGTTGACCTTTTTGCATAATCATGAGTTATGACGACACTCGTTTTTCCTTTCCCCCCTTCCCGCCCTTTTCTGTTTGGCTGTCATTGTTGCGGCCACACTTTGGTTTTGGTTGCTTTTCGGTGAAGAGTTCTTTATATTCTTTGGATTATTGTTATATGTATTATGGGATCTTCAGGGCACAAAAAAGGTGCAAAAATAAGAAGAAGTGAAAGATGACAGGTGAACAAACTCTTGAGTTTTGTTATTTTGTTTGCCTCGTAGGTAAATCAAGATGATAATAAATAACAAGTTGTTTTTGGGGTGGAGGCTATGAGACTATGACTCAATCTTACTTAATATGTTTATTATTATTTCTTCAATAATATTGTGAGCATATTTAGAGGATTTATGAAAAATCTTTGTTTCTAAGAAACTCTTTTTAGCTCCGTAAAAATCAAACTTTAATGTTAGCCCCATGGAAACGTATGTAAATATTTAATACGATTTTAATCAGCTGGCAGACCATTATTCATTATTTTGTTACCATTTTAAGTGCCTTAAATGCTGCCAAAAGGAATGTAAATTATTTCCCTTCACAGCTCAACAATCTTAAATATTTACATGAGGTGTACCAGCTACCAGCTACAACCCCCCTCAATCTTATATAATCCGCGATAATATCCCCCATTAAAGGTTTTCGTGCTGGAAAACAATCAAACAATCAATTTAGCTGCCGCAGATATTATTTCCAAATCAAAGTAAAAGTTGGAATACAATTTCGGTATCGCTGGCAAATTGAAGTTCCATCAGTGCCAATCCCGCGGATCATCTCTTCGGACAAACCGCAGAATAATAATTAAGCTGCACGCTCGGCTACATCCCAAAATAATAATCAACATTTTGTCTTTTGATTGATAGTTTTTCGTACTCTCCGACTTCTTCACGCCTCCATGCATCCATCCAGATACTGCCCAGAGGCGGGTATGGATGTTGGTCGTTGAAACGGGATGGTGGGGGCTACAGTGGGAGGCTGGGAGGAGGTGGTTTGAGGTTGATGTTTCAATTGTTCGATGCGCCTGACTTAATTTTTCATGGCATTTTGGGTTTTTGCTGTTTGATTTTTGTCTCTTACTTAATTCCAGTTATAAATTGCATTACGTGGCTTGAACAAAAAAAAAAAAACAACAACAAAAAAACAGATTGAGAAAATGTGAAAAAAGGCAGAAAATATTTCAAGCTTGACTGTGCATTCCCCATTTTTCTCTCTCTTTTGCACTCTCCATCTTTTTGTCGTTGTCTTTCTCTGGCTCTATTCTCGTTGCTCATTTCTCATTTCTCACTCAACTGTCTGGCCACAAATTTAATTAAAAATTCTTGCACCATATTATTCCATTTCTTCCACTCTCTCCCTACATTTTCCCTCTGTCTTTTCTCTCTCTGTTCCCTTTGTTATTTTCCTTCTACGTATTAATTGCATCACTAAATTTTTTAATGCGCGAAAAGTGCGAAAATTGCAGTGGGAATACAAAAGAAAGAATTGCAGCAACAACTGCTACCAGAAATGAATGACTGAATAAATGAAAAACGAATCAAGTACAGTTGTGCACAGCACGGTGCACAAAAGTGTTAAAAAAATACTGCCCACAACAGAAATTGAAGTCAACTAGTAAAGTTTTTTTTTTTCAGAATGAAACTGCAAATACCCTTGTGAGTTGGAGTCCCTCAAAATTAGTAATATATTTAATATAATATACCATTAATATAATTAATATTATATTATTAATATTATATTATTAATATTATATTATTAATATTATATTATATTAATTAATATTAATAAAACATTTAATACAATGTAATCCAAATATCTTCGTCTTACAGAAGTTATTAAAAATATGTAAAATGTACTAGAATATTGTTTATTCTTGTGTAGTAATTTCACGTTATTTATGCCAGATTCTTCATAAGAGAACTATAATATGTACATTGTATGCAGTAGTTAAAATGGTCTCAGGTTCCCATACTGATAGACAAATGGCTTGATCCTTTCCATTAAACTTTTAGCTAAAAGCAAAAGGTTTCCATCAGCTACAAGCCTATCAAAAGTATGCCGTATGAAACTGTCCGAAGCATTTGTGAAAGTCTCAATCGAATAACCTTATGAACAGAACACTTTATAGTTAAGCGGACAGCTCTTCAGAATTCTTGCGGCTCTGTTGATCTTCTTGATTGCAAATCTTTCAGAACCCCTCTACTGTCAAGGGTATGCACAAAAAGATGCAACTTTTTGTTTTCTCACTCAAAAACTTGAAAGGTGCAAATGATTTTTCCTCCCCCCCTCTCTTTTTCTCTCTCTTTTGGATTCTCTGTCCGTTTCAGGTGTTTGTTGTTTCTTTTGTTGTGGCCGCATAATTATTCACTCTTTGTTTTTTTGTTGTTTCTGGTTTTTTTTTTGTGGCTTTGCAAAATTTGCATTTTTAGACAATGGTCCAGCAGCGGTTGATTTTTTTCTTCTATCTGTTTTGTTTTTTTTTTTCCGTCTATTTGGCTTTGGGGCACGTTGGGCGAGAGGCAATCTTCTGCCTCCCATCACACCTCTCGGGCCGAAAAATGTTTTAATTGAAGTTTTATTTAACAAAAGCTGGGCCGTACTTCTTGTGGGTCTCTGTGGGCGTTGGGCTTAAGGGGGAGTTTTTGGGTCACATAATGCTGTTAAGCATTTAAGTGGATTAGAATTTTTGTGAGGTGGTTTTCGGCAAAAAAGGGAGATTTTTCTGTGTGGGAAAAGTTGTCAATTGAAAAGTTTATATATAGATGGGAGGGGGGTGGGGGCTGGGGGCTGGCTATATATAGAAAGTTCGGTTGAGGTTGGAGTGTGTGCACAGGTTGATAATCTCTTGGGTCAGCTCTCAAGCCAAATGAATTAACTGGGCAATGGGGATGGGATGGAGTCCAACAACCCGATTTTTGAGGTGCGTTGTTTGAGCTTTAGCCTGGGGACAGTCTTTTGGGATTGTATTAATTTGATTTTTTGAGCAGATTTAACTTTTGGTTTGAGAGAAGAAAGATTTTTAGGCAGAGAACATTTATAAAAAGTAAAAAATTATATTTAGAAAGAGTTTAAAGGGGAATTTAGTGGCTGTGTTTGAATCAGCAACGATTAAGTGATTAAAAATCGATAAAAAAGTAAAATTATCGATAAAAACAGCGATAACATCCACGTTTCTCATTAGCTTCAGCTTTAATATTATCAAAAAATGTATCTCAATACCAATAACTAAATTGCCTGATCCCCCATAGAATCAACTTATTATTCAATAAATTTGCCTGGGAAATCCTGCCCCATTTTGTGGGCTGGAAGGGGAAGGGGAAGGAAGCTTGAATAAATTCCAGTGCGACCGCTGCGAAGAAAATCCCCTTTTAAACACGATGCTGGCTTTTGTCATCTCATTCTCTATTAAGGCCAAAAACAATTTCCGTTTAACCGCAGCTTATCCTTTTGGTCGTTTGAAGCCAAGTGAATTGTTCTCTCTGTCTCTTGGGCACACAAAAAATAAACGTAACTCGGGCTAGTTTATTGGCTCAGAGATGAAGCTGTGACGACGACGACGACGTCGTCGAGGAGGATGATGATGTTGAGGATGATGAGGATGGTGGTATAGAGGCTCCAAGGCATAGACCATGGACATTGAATTAATGACATGGAGCACATTTGATGTTTTTATTTTATTGAAACTAAAATGAAAGTGTCGTGGATGTGGCAGATGGGGCTATGGGGCTATGGAGCTATGGCTATGGCCAGCCACAAGATGGTACATTATCAAGTGGACAACATTGAGTTGGTCAATAAAATGCTGGCCAAGAGCCAGAGGAAGGAGCCCGAGCCCCTACCTCTCTCTCTCTCTCTGCGGTTGAGTGCAGTTTTTAGCCACTTAAAAAAACCTTTTAAGCAGCTGCTGGCTCCACAGCCACTGCGCCGCACACTGGTGTTTCTCCCGGCCACCAACTAATAAGACAACTTTTATGCAAATGCAAATGCCATTGCACCACAGCAGAGCTCCCTTTGGAGCTGCCGTTTTTCCCCCAGTTTTTTTTTTCTTCTTCCATTTTTGGGTTGGAAAACATCCGCTGCGGTCCAAATAAGTCACTTCCCTTCTACACTGGCAGAAAGTAGTAAATTCTAAAGTTTGCAAGTAAGCCTGTCCAATGGGAATGGAAAGGTTGGAAAATTCTTATGATGTTTTAGGATGGAAAATTAGTAAGTTGAGACGAAAAATTGTAATTTTTAGATTTATGCTTTGAAGAGATCAATCTTTAAATAGAATAACAGAATGTAGAATCTGATTTTTCCCTTAAACCTTTTAAAAAAAATTAATTTCAATCATATTTCGAGGTTTATTTTTGGTATGAGATCTTTTTGAATATCTCTACTTTAATAAATTACAAAACGCAGAAAGGTATTTAATTGTTTTAGTTCTCCCAGTGTACAGGGAACGCTGCTGAGAAGGGTTCAACAAACTCTTTGGGGTCTGAGTCTGAGTCACCTCCAGAGCTCGCCTCGGGCTCATTGGCTATGCACGACGAGAGGGCCACGCACGCGTTGACAGGCGTGATGAGCGTGAATATCAATTGGGTGGAGGGAGATATTCGATGGTGGCAGAGTGGCGTGGTGGGGGGAACGGGAACACACCCGTGGTCCGCCCCTGATATACATATATGCATGGCTTATGCGTTACGTTACGTTACGCTATATGTGTGACAGCTTACCATAGAGCTCTTCTCTCTGATAACCCGACGACAATCGTCGCTTTGCTTTGTTTGCCCAGCCCCTCGTCAGGTTTTATTGCCAGTTTTACAAAAGATGTGCGGTCTGGTCTGTCCAAGACGAAGACTGAGATTGGTGCTGATACGTGCATATATGAGGAGGAGGAATACAAACACACAGAGAGAGAGAGAGAGAGAGAAAGACTTGCACATGAAGAATGGTGGTATGCAGAATGGGGAATGATGTTGAGAAAAGTGAAACGCAGACTTGGAAGACTTGGCTAAGATGCATTCTGACACAGAATCTTACAGATAGATGGAAGCCGAGATTAAGACTGACAAGGGGATTGGGAGTCATAGGAAGACTGACACAGACTCCAAACCAGAGAATGAAACGAAGCCACAGACAGTGAAATGGGAACATAAATAAAGATTGAAGACAGAGACGCAGACAGCAACTGAACTTGGCATGGAAACTGAGACTAGGCAAAAGAATGAAACTGAGAAAATGTTTTGAAGACTGCGAATGAGAAAGAAAACAGAGACGCTGCTTGGCTTGGGTTTTATTTTAAACAGAGAGACTGAAATCGAGACTACGAGGCCAAGAACAGAATCTATAACAGATTCTCAAGCACAGAGAAAGAAGAAATGAAACGCAACCAGAAGATGCTGGGGAAAGAGACCCTAAATAAAGACGGAACAAGGCAGAAACTAGAGTTGGAGATACGTGTAAAAGTGTGAGCATGAGAATGAAAGCGAGAAGACTGACAGGCAGACACTGTGAATCCCTCAAACCACGACCCAATTAGCTTAGTGTAAAGCCAATAAAGATATATATATACTCGCATGCTCATCGTATATTCCCTGCTCTTTTTATAGAATTGCACCCGGCTTTCCCGACACGCGCACCTGTCTGCTCCACCAGAAGCTGCAAATGCTCAACGTTTGCGTGGAGCGTCGCGTACAGCGGGAGGCAAACAGCAAACGCAAACAGCACCAGGAGCAGGCACAGGCACAGGTCATATCCGAGGATGAGGAGGAGGACGAGGGCGAGTTCTTTGATTGCAATGAGCCGAACTCGGCTGGCTCGGGTTCACCCATTAAGGCGGTGCTTAGCCTGAAGCCCGAGGGTCGCTCGAGACGGCTGGGCGATGAGCGTTTGCTGGATGAGCCCGAGGAGTATCTGTACATACCGGAGACACAGGAGCCAGTGCCCAAGACAGAGGACCAGCTGCAGGACGATGCCGAAGTGATGCTGAAGCTGGGACCCGGTTCGGGTCTGACCACTCAAATGATGTGCACTTCGCTGCTCTCCGACATGGAGGCCTTCAAGGCGGCCAATCCTCGATCGCAAATGGAGGACTTTATCAGATGGTATAGCCCCAAGGACTGGGAGGAGGTTAAGGGCGGTCAGTATGATAAATATTCATGCCTTTTCATCTCTTTATTATTATTTGTATTTCCTCCCGAAGAAACGGGCGAAATCACTCACCAATTGAGCGTGAGAATGACCACTGAGGGCAACACCTGGCTAACAGTTTGGCAACAGGCCCATCCCGTGCCCATAGCCCGACAGAAGCGACTCTTCGATGACACCAACGAGGCCCTAAAGGTTCTACACTATTTGGAGAACCGAAAGATGCACGAGATCTACCACCTGACTATTGTGCCAGTACTCCACTCGAGTATCCTCAAGCTTATAGTGAGTAAAGGACTCCAACTAATCAAGGAAACAGCTCCAACTCCATCTCTTTGCCCTTCAGGACATTTTCAGCAATGCCAAGGTCGATGATCTTTTCAGCCCCCAAATCGAGCAACTCCTGACGGATCTCTGCCGTCTGTCGCGCTCTCAGTCGGACGATCTGCCCCCCATCGGACCTCTTCTGGATGATCTGGCCGAGCTGGAGCGCCGCTTCTATCAGTTCAAGTGCTTTGAGCGGCTCTCGGGCTATCCCAAGAAGAGTTCCCTGGAACAGGTGAAGCTCCAGTTCCTGGAGATCCTGCGCAATGAGAACTGCTGCACGATCATCAATCGCAGGCTGACGGCAGCAGGCGATGGTGCACTCTATGACATATTGATACCCAAACTGGAGCACGACATGACGGAACGTTTGATCAGCAAGGACTATATTATTAGGCTGGATGGCGACTCGAAGAGTACGGAGAAGGGTCTGTACTTGGGTCCACAGTTTATGAGGGCCATTGTCACGGGCGAAAAACTGAGACTCTGTGGAGCATTCACGGAGAGCACAGCCTTCGTTTAGGGGCAGGAGTTTGTGTGTGCAGGGAATGAAAATTGGTAGAATCTTTGAAAGAACTTTAAAGTTAAACGACTGAAAGATACATTATTCCACAATACGCATTGAAGATGCAGATATAAACCGTTAAACACAATTAAGATTATTTAATTTATAATATTAATATACACTTCCATATTTAATTTGGTTTTGTTTGGTGCTTTTAATAAAATATAAAATAACAAAAATAAATTTTAATCACACAAAAATCATTTAGTATTCATTTGAGGCAGAAAACTTGCAGCATCTTAAAGGCACAGTGCACAGTGGGATTCGAAGCCACATATAATCACATAATCACTTCTCCGGCCCCGTCACTTGGGGCCAAACGAAATCCACACAGAAACCCCACACTTGAGTGACAGGCAACGAAAGATGGAGGCCGAGGCAAAGGAGGCAGCCACTAGCCAAACTTTAGACACGAAATTGCCCAAATACGAGAAGGAAGCAGAAGGCGGTGCCGCCCGTTTCCAGTCTGGGCCCGGGCCTGGGCCCATAAGCAAATTGTGGGCCCTGTTTAACCGGAATTATTTTAAGCGCACACTCTCAGAGCTTGGGAGCTGCACAAGCCACAAGGCTCCTTAGGACGACTCCAGGGGGGAGGGGGGCGGTCCGAAAAATCTAGAGAACAGAGCTCTGGTAAGACATAAAACATTTCGCTCCTTGGCTCTCCTTGTTTGGGTGCCGTGCCCCGTTTGCTGGTAATGTTTTTCCCACTAAATTACCTACGGGCAATAATTGTTTTGTGTACATGTCGGGACGATGTTTGCCTGTTTGCCTCGTAAAGCCCGCAACATTGTTTGCCCCCTCCCGTGCACTGCCTTGGCAGCATCTTTTCTCCTTGAATTTCCCTCCGGTTTCGACTCTAACCGAAAATGTAAAAGTGTAAAATAAATTTGTATTTACTGCATTTGAGGGCAGGAGTTATGTGAGTGTTTATAAGCACTCCACTCCGGCTGCAGTTTGGCCACTGCAGGCAGGGAATCTGCTGGCATAACTACCTCCTGGTGTAGCCGTTTCATAGCCATTTAAAGGCCAAGGACTGATGCCAATGGAGTAGTGGCTGCTGCAGCTAATAGATGTGGATGTAGATTACTTTTGCACAACAAAATTTCACACTAGTTTTTGGGTGCAGCCCTTACGATAGCAATCTTAGAATGAACTCAAACTCCCACATGTTTTGGTTATGTGGGAATTTGTATTATTTAAGAGACATTTATTGGATAATTCCTTCTCACATAGCGTTCATTCAAATAGTGTTCACCCCTTTCTGTGTATTTATGGAATTTGCATTCCATTAATTTCCTATTCCTGCTATCTCTTTGTTCCACTTGCCTTTGATTTGGATGCAATGACACCCGGAGAATGATTTTTGTTACCCACAGATGGATTTATTGTGCGCTCGCCTCTATCCAATGCGGATCCTATTGGGGACACTATTCAATAAATCAGAGAATAAATTGTGCAGAAAAAATAAGCCAAACCTATATTTGAAATTATATTCATGCGGACATTCATTTCATTCATATCTTTTTATGCATTCAATAAAATAATATCGCAAAAAAAAGGTAAAGAGAAACTTAATTAAATTCTTGAATTCAATTTGGCATGAAATGGATTGCTGAATGATCTGGAAGCGTGGGGGTTGGGTAGGGTATATGTATTCTCGTGTATAGAGAGAAAAGTGGGTTTTCCAATTGATTTGCTGGCGGTTTTGTGGTCCACCTACTACTATGTGTGTGCATCTGTATCAGTATCTGTGTGTGTGTGTCTCTCTCCCAATCTCTCTCTTTATATGGAATGTGTGTGTGGATGTTACAATCTTGCTGATGTAGTTGAATTTTAATGAAAGTTTTTCCTTTTTTATTCTGCACAGAAAATTGAATTATAGCCCACACACACACACACACAGACACACACACGAACACAATCTTTGAGGAGTTCCTAGTTGAGATTTTCAATTTTCCATCGAAAGGAATAAAATGAAGAAAAAATCTGAGGCAAAGATTGAAATAACCTCATAAAAAATAAAATAAAATAAAACTCTTCAAGTGTTCCATACCCGTTAATCGTAATAAATGCGGGTATATTCCCAATTTTGAGTCAGAGGGAAGGATATGCCTAAATTTTATATTTTTACTGACCCTCATAAACTTTCAGATTTATGCAACGCCTCCGGACAGCGAGAATAACCTGTGATTTTCCAAACTATAAATCCGAGTAAAAGGTATCCCAACTGTCGGAATATCACCTAAATCATTCTAGTGGGGAGGGCTTAGGAATCAGGGATTGCATTTCTCTCTAGGGCCATGAATTATTCAGGCAGCAAACTGCAATGATAAGCAGTCTTCCTCGCCCACAGGCCATAATTGAGCTCGGGAAAATCATTCCCCCCACCCCCCTCTCGCACTCCACCACTTGACCAGAAATCCACTCCCATAATAAAATATGCAAAAGGCCTGTGCCAGTGCCAGAGACCTTAAATAATAATAGAGCATGGAAATACTCGTAAATCCATGGAAGCCAGACCTAGACACAGACACCGACACCCACACACCCACAGACCCACACACCCACAGACCAACCCAGAGCCATCCTCCTAAAACTGCACTGCACAAATCTGCATATTCATCGCTAAAAAGCGGAGGAAAAAGCAAGAGAAAAAAAAAGTCATTGAAACTGAAAAGAATTATAAGTTTCACAACTCAATAATTAAAAGTAAGCAATAAAACGAAAATCCCGTTGATGGCTTGCAAATGAGGAGTTGAGAGTGAGACACGGTGATGGAATAACGGATACTCAGTACAAACAGGGCAAGGAGGTGGAATTTTAAAGTGCAGGATGTTTCAGTATGATGAAATCAAAATCAGATCATTTGATTGAATTCACATCCAAGAGGCTCTCAACTGAACAAAGAGGTGAGAGTTCACACTTATGTATCTCTGGAGTGCCATGACCCTCTAACGCACGAACTTTAACCACACTTTCGATTTACTGTTTGCTGCGGGCGTTTCTCTAAGAGCCTGCGATTAAAAGGATAAAACCTGTTGCATCAATATATACATATATGAGCACTCTCCCGTACTCTCTCTCTCCCTGTAACTCGTTGCCTATGGTATCACCTTGCCTATATCACACATACCCTGGATGAATGTCTTCCCATAAAACTGAAAAATTAAGCTTAAGTCGTGCCAAAGCATCGAGCAACAACAACAATGACAAATTTACAGTAATACAGGTGGGATTACTTTTTCATCTCTCTCTCTTGCTTCCTTCTTTTTTGTCTTCTTTTTTTTTTTTTGTTAGTCTTGTCAACTGCAGCCGCAGCTCACGCTTATCTACGCACACCACGTCCAACAAGTATTCGCACAGCTTCGAATTTATAAAGTTAGCTTACAGAGTGAACGAATTATTTCGGTGCTGTGAATATATGGGACCTTAGCGTGGAGGGCGTTTGAATTATTTTTGGAACTAGTGTAGGTACGAATACACATACTTAATGTGTATATACCCAAGTAAGTGTGTGTGTGTGTACGCATATTTGTTGTTCCAATCTAAAAGAGAGCACTAGGCGGCGGCGTTTTAAGCAGCTTATTACAAATTTTGCCCCAAATGATGTTGCTGTTGCTGCTGTTGTTGTTGTTGTGTGCATAAGTAAGGAGATGAATTTAAATTATGAATACACTCATATTTGTAGGCAGATTTGTGTGGGTGACACCTGGTCCGCTCTTCAGATCTCTGCACCTATTCTGCACCTCCCCCTCTCTTGGGTTTATTTCTTGGCAAGGCCCTCCCTCCCCTGTCTTGAGCTCTTTCGTCGTCGTTTCGCCTGCAAAGTGCTGGCAAATAACTGTAATTGAAGATGCCAATTGTTTGCCAGCAATTAGCGCCGTTCAATGTGGTGGTCGTCTCTCTCTCTCTCTGTGTGTGTTGCCTGTGTCAGAGCGGGACAGCCAGCTACTACTGTACTGTGAATAATTAATTTTGTTTTTTTATTTTCGTGGGCTGAAATGATGGACGCTTACTATCGGGTTTTTGGCTGGTTTTCTACTTTATTTATTTTGTTTTGGATAAAATGAAATCATCTTCTTGTATGGTATTATGGGTGTAGCATGTTAAACAGGGTTTGGCCATTTACGAGCTATTTTGTTTAATAATTTTAGCATTAAGGTCACATCCGCTTGGGTAACTGATCTAAGCATTATGTTAATTACTTTTGTGCAGCTCTTCGATATGGTGCTTACTCGCCGAATTGGTAATACATATATGTAGGATTTGCAAACAATTAAATCCACATGAGGTTTAGCCTTTATTCTGCTAAAGATTCGGCTCAGTCAAATAGAGCCATAAAACTTGTCAAAAAGTGTGTCATTCGAATATGGCAGCCAAGTGATATAAAACTTGGTCTCTCTGCATGCCATTGGCACTTGGTGAACGTGAACACTTGGGAAAGTGTTCAACTGCTTGTGCATATAATCAGCATAAAAGTTTTATTTTGATTTAACACGTTTTCAAGTTATTTGCGGTAAGCTCAGGCAGCAAACCAGTAAATCTGCCGAAAATGGGATTATTGATATGAGCCTTGTAAGCCTGGTGCCCTCCCTCTCGCCCGCTTTGGTATTTGTTTGCTTGTTTGCTCTCCGCGGCACAAACATTGGCACATTGGATGGGAATTGTTACGGTTCTCTGCTTAAAGCTTTAAAAAGTTTTTTAATGCTTTACCGGTCTGCGTATCTCTCTCTTTCCCACTGCTATCTGGAGTCTCTCGCTTGCTCCATTGCTCGTCATACAGGGACATCATACAAGGCTGATGACAACGTCGACGACGACGACGACGACGACGACGATGGAGCGCAGATCAAGGCATCTGTCAGAAGAAGGCTGGCAGGCGGACAGGGGGGGCGGAGATTGTCTGCGGGGTGGTGTGTGTGTCTGCAGGGGGTGGACATTTATTAACACGCCTGCTGTTGCTGGGTGTGTGCCGCCAGCTGCTGCCAGAAAGGTGTTAAGTGGCAGCGGCAGTGGCAGGCACTGAAGCAGAGACAGAGACAGCGGCAGTGGCAGCGAAATGATGATGAAGCGAATCTCACATATCAGCATAAATAAATTTAAGTGTCGGGCACAAAGAAATCTGCGTAAATTCCCCCACCACCCG